AGCTGCAGTGCATTAAGGGTTATTTAAAAATTGAAAAGTTAATGACAAAAAATTAATCTTCTAAGCTTATCCCTCTGCATAGTAGGGGGGGGGGGGAAGTAGTATGCAGTTGAACCAACTACTTCTCAACATTGAAGCAAACTTGGTGTAATTCAATTAATGTAAAAAAAGGAATTCTTTGGAAATATTGGCAAGTCTGCATTGCTAACTCTCTAAGTTACGATTAATTAGGATTTGAGGGCAAAATTACACTGGACATTGGCTTTAATGGAGGAAAGTGGAGGTGAAACGGAAAGAAGCTTATCGATCTGGCGTATATTAATGTGTAAATTAGAATAGGCAACTGTGAACGGTAAATGATTACTCATCGCCTGACATGAGAGTTCACCAAGACAAAGCAGTTATGAGCTCTGTGTTGTTTCAAATACTCTCGCTTGTCAAATGCACACAGTCATGGCTAGAAGAAGATGCGAATGCATGCAAGTGGTGACCTTTGATTAAATAAACTGATCAAAGCGATCTAAATTGCATAGATATGACCTTATCCAGCAACTAAGACAGCAAATCAGAGAAGTGTCTTAATATTAATAAGTTAATTATGCCTCTTATGAGAAATTGGGCAACGCCTTGCCCTAGTGTTCAAGTATTACATGACTATTTTACAAGTAGATGCTACTACGAAATTGTGACAACTTTAGAAGGAAATCCCAAGACCAACGATTGGTAGAAAAAAACGAAGCGTCAAAAAAAAACAGTAATTGAGCAACAATTCTTAAAGCCTTTCTTTTTTTCGCGATCAAAGCACTCAATCAGCCGAATGAAGCGATTGGAAATTAGATATATAAGACATACTACATTCCCAGAGTGAACTGTCAGCCCACCTGCGTCGCCAATATCAACAAAGCACTAAACTCCAATGAAACTTTTGTCTCATTAAAAAGCATTCTGCCATTTGCGTAGCTAGACCTTTTCAAATATATATGGGTAGACCCTTATATATTTGACCGAAACATGTTCCACCTAGAATGGGCCTGATTACCGGCGCCCTATGAAATTAGAAAAAAATTTATTCTAGTATAAAGAGAGTACCACTCAGGCCCTAAATAACTGGCATACGAAATTCAGACTCACAAGGTCCTCTATTATGTAAGTTTCAAGTTTAAAAGCACTGAAATCTCTAACAACGAACACAACGGACACTGTTGATAAACCACAACCGAATTTTAGGACATTTATTTAAGGAAGGTTATTTTCATCTAAACCATGAAAACTTAACAAAACACATGTTTTTGTGAGGGGAGAGGGGGGCGGGGATTGGGTGGGTGGGTAGGAGAGTAGCATTATAACTTCCTATTTTTTTACCATTTTCACTTTTTATATAATCTTACATTTGAATTTTAGTCGCAGAAGACTTCTCAGCTAGTCAACTATCAATGTTGATTCAAATTGTGCTATAGCTGCATTCAATTGAAAAATCATGTTTGCCTCACTTGCTGAATATCTGCATCCTTGCTATCATAGAGGTAGGCCAATTCGCTTTTAGGAGATTTTGCCATAGACAAAAATGAGAATAAGTCAGGCCTATTTTGTACAGCAATCGGCTACAAGTTTTTTTTCTGTTACCAAAATTAATGGTTTAAAATGACTACATCGTACTATCAAATAAGACCTCAATTCAGATTTGAGATTTAAAAGAAAACAAAACCGATTCGGACTTCTAAAATAGGAAAGCGAAATGTTCTAGCTATAAGAACAAGAGCATTTGTAATACAAAGTTGGAGGATTCGAGATTCAGACTTGCAAGTGACTGGAACAAACTGATTCCTCAGTGTCGATAAACACAAAGAGCTTTGATCAACCACCAGTTAATGTCAAAAGTCGTGAGAGGGTATCGTTTATGGGCACTCGCATTGGCTAAATTTGGTCTTACAGTAGGGATTATGTAGCGCACATTTTTTTCATAGGACTAACTTCACTCAAGTCAAACCACAGATTTTCACTCCGTTATGTGACCGGATGTTTTTTACACCTTTATTTCGCTGAAGGTAAGTAAAATATCGATTTTTTTCAAATCATTCATCAAGCCAAATTATCATTTATAAAACAGTTGTCTTAGTTTCAATAATAGAATCCCCTACTAATACACATTAACCCCCCCCCCGTAATCATAACTCTCCCGAGGTCATTTGATTACCCCAAAATTGGACATCTTGACTGGCCGAGGCAAACACCGAAAACTGCAATTAACCGGGGAAATAAATATACTGACATGATTATAAGTAGAAGTAGATCTAAATGTAAATCCACCCTGCTTGAAGTCACATTGGACTTTATTTCCAAAAATAAGGGAGATTTCAATGGCCCCTTGGACGCCATTAGCGAAGGTCCCATTTCCATCTTAAAAGGAAGGTGGGGGGGGGAAGGGAAGGGCATATTATAATTGTATGGAAGATCAAATTGTGAATACGCTTCAAGGAATACTGATCACTGCACTTCTACAAATTCGAATATTTTTATGAAAAAAATTATGATGAGTATTCAGAATTTTTCACCTAAGAGTCTTCACTTTGTAAAGAACTTGTTCCTTTTCCAAAAGATAAATAAATGTTACCCCAGTTCCATACTTTAACAATAACCTCTTAGCCCAATATTTTCACAATATCACCAAATAAGTATATTCTAATGACAAGCATAGGCTTGACTACAAAACTTGCAATACAGTATTCAAAATTGAAGCAAGTAGGTGAATATCAGCATTAGAAAACATTTTTAATGAATTCCCTGAGCACTAGGCAATATCTAAGCAGACTTAATAATGAGTTAAATCTTCACACGTTGGTAAGATCTCCTCCATGAAAATTCAAATTAATCCCATTTAACCACGGAAGCTTGTCACTTCGCTCACTGAAAGCGTGGTGGATATAGAGGATGTCAAAGGCCCTAATGGAACATTTCGAAAGGGAGGAAGGGGAATGGAACTGCTCTTGAGAAATTGTCGGGGGGGGGGGGGGGTTAAGTAAACCCGACATAGTTGAAAACACCTGCTTTTACAACTTGATGCATAAATGGCCAAACGAAAAAAACACGTAAAAGCACATATAAATTGTGACAGAGAGAAGAAAAGTCAGCAAAAATGTTAGCGCGTAACACACACACCAGGCGGACGAATTTGACAATTTGGGCGTGTTTTGTAAGCTTGATGAATGGCTGATTTGTTTTTAGTGGAGAAAGAAGCTTCGAGAAATAAATTCCAACTGAGTATAATAACCATGCTGCTATCCACAGCCATGTGACGCGATGCTCCAGAATGAGTAACTACAAGGCTGATATTAATGACAAATTAACATGCACAAAAGCATTCAAATAGGGCGATCAGGATATCATAAGACAGGAGCACTGTTGACACATCAGTACCTTTCTCACTTCTACCAATTTGAAAGCTATGAAATTGAAACCCATCAACTAATGTCTATTGATTAAAATGGCCATCAGAGACGATTGGGAAGATACTTCCTCCTTACCAAGATGGGTGCTGGAAAGTGGTCTCATAGGCCATAGGCTGGTTGGAATACCATATGGACTAGGTCAAGCTAATGAAGGCCTGGTATAGAGCGAATTTCGAACGAAGAAACTCTTTTGTGCAAGACAGGCATTGGGCAAGCATTCGTCAATTGGCTTTGGATTTACCTTCTGTAATTGGCTGATTTCAGGATGGAGAAGATTCATCAAAGCTCTTTGCACAAAAATAAAGCTTCCGATTTGACTAATATTCAATCAATCAATCAATCAATTATAGCTAATTTATAAGTTCAACAAAAGGATAGTCGAATTGAAAAGGATCAAAATTTGCAAAAAAACAAACATTTAGGAAACGCCAGAAAAAAACTAGCGAAGGGCGAAAATTTTGTGATTTAATTAACAAAATATCCGGAAAAAGAAGCGAACCGCGCTTTTTGTGGCCCGAGCAAATGTATTGATTACGTGGAAGGAAAACAGCGTTTGAAAAATACAGCACGATCCACTTCACCGTAAACCTGCTTCCCACAAATATGGTAAAAATAGCCCAAACACATTAGGGCCAATAATTCTGCGGTTTGAAAAGGCTCCATATGCCCCAGTAAAGGATACCCCTTGCAGATTGTACCATACCTTGTGAACTACCGAATAGCACGAGTCAGTGATTAAACTATTGAAAGATGTCAATGAATGGGACTTTCCCCAGTTTGCTTTCTCAGTGGTTTCTGGAGGCTTTAAATCTTTATTATCAATTTGAAGTAGCAAAATTTTAAAACACATGACTTCGAATTTTATAAACATATAATTTATGGCACTGACTTGGTGTAAGTGGTGTGCATAAATTTTCGAAAATGTCATTAGATTTTAAGACAGCAATGAACTTGGTAATAGTAAAATCTACATAAATCGCGAACGAAATAAAACAAGATTCTGAAGGTCAAATATCAGCTGACTCGCCTGCCAGCTAATAGTGAAGGCCAGCGAAATCTCGTTTCCCAACTATGAATGCTACCACTTAAGTGCAAGCTGGAATGGGCCAGATAAAACAAGAAATGCCCTTGACAATCAACCAATCGTGTGTCACCAACGCAATAGGGAATGATTCACTATGTCCAGCCCATCCACTGCACGCATCAACAACGAAAACTCCTAGATGGAAACGGTAAGCAGAAAGACCCCTGAGAATCAGGTCATCATTCACTTAGCATCAAAGAAATAGAGAACGATTTATTATGCGCAGAGAAACGCGTTAACGGTTGGTTTTCAGGTTAGACACAAAATAGACAAAATGACCTAAGACTTCTGAAGTCATACACCTTTAAAGAAACAGCTGACCACAGTGGTATGATGGTTGACAGTTCAAGGGGTGACATTTAACTTCAGGAGTGAGTATAGCGAGGGCACCTGATACTTTTGTTTATCATACGTACTGAGCACCAGACCAAGCGCGGCAAGCGCAGAAGCACCAAGAAAGGAATCAGCTTCTAATGAAGACGGTGAGGCTAATGTTAGAGAGGGAGTTAGCGAAGACATAAATACACTGACATAATAAAGTCGATAAAATAAAAGAATGAAATAAAGAAACACAAAATTACGTACCTGAGCTGCTAAGGGAGGGACACGAAGACGTTTCATGGCTTTCTGACGATCGCCTCCTTCCAACTTTGTGAAGGCATCCTATAAATGAGGAGTGAAATTTGACATGAAAAGTGAGAACTCTCAAAAAGCCAAGTACTCGTTTAGCCGTCAAAACGAACCCATTAAAGTTAAGCCTCAATGCTACTGGGTCTCACGTGAAAAAATTACGTTTCCTTCAAGAATCCAAATGGCAACTCAAGATTTTGATACCACATCCAACTGAAGGATATTACGCAAACACATTCAGCTTTAGACAAAGTAGCAATTAAATTAGCAACATTATCTCCCAGGTTCAAGTTAGTATAATATTAGAACACTGTAAAAAAACAAAATTTGTATGCGTAATTTTGGTGGATTGGCTAAAGTACGCCGAGAGAAATTGGTCAGGCCGTGTTACTTAGGGGGTCATTACCGATGCCAAACTAAAGGTATCTAAAATTTTCTTCTGCAAAACAGTAAAAGCCCCTTTGATTCTTGTTAATTTCCTCGTTTCCCATTAACAACTTTCTCAATTTAAATTCAACGTCGCGTTAATTTAGTTCACTTTCGAATTTGATTTTGGCAAAACTTCGCTGTTATTAGTGGGACAATCGAAATTCATATTTGTTGAAAATTCATGAAACAAATAAACTTTATTTGTTGAAACACAACAGATAACTGTGGAAGAACCCAATATTTCAAAGTTACCTCGACTTCGGTAATCATGGAATCGACCGAATCATCTGTATGAAAAGGTTCATATGAAATGACCTCATCATACCACTCCAGACCATTGGACCTTTGGAAAAGCTAGGGTAAATACAGAGTTTTAACCAATAACAGATAATTACCTTATCATGCTTTTTAAGAATCTTTCGAAAGCCGGTGTAATTCAGACTCTGATAGTTCTGAAGTAATACAAGACTAAGATAGAATTCACTAAGCGCAAGCTTTAGCTCGTAAGTTTTTAACCGTGGTGTATCTTCATTTTGACCAACTTGTTGAGCACTGCTTTCAGTTCCCTTTTCGCTTTTTCTTAACCGGAATGTATTCCTTCGACGGCGTAACAAATCCATATCGTCGATCTGAGAGACGGAGCTTTGCTTGTAATCAGGAGTTCCTTCAGCTGTCTGATATAAACTCGTATCCCCATCTTGTTCATCACCACCATCATCATTAATATGTACAGCAGGGCTACTTATGTAAAAGGAGGAAAATGTTGCACGATGGCGATCAGAAAAATGCCGGTCAAATTCACCTCTAAGTGCCGCAAACTTTCTCTTAGCTTCGGCAAGCTTTTCTAGAATGAGATAATAAAGATAAAAATGATAAATCTTTCAAACCTGCAAAAAAGTTGTTAATCTTGTCAAGTTCGGCTTGACACATTGCAAAAAATACAGCGTCACTTTTGTCGAAATGTTTGGCGACGGAGATAGCATCAACAACTGGAAGAGTTTCAAAATCATCAAGGCCTTTATAGAGAACACCTTTAAGAGCCTAGAAAATGAAAGTGAAATATGGCAATTATAATTGTACCTCGTATTCTATATATTGCTTTCGCCATTCGGGCGTTATATGAGCCGATAAGTGCTCAGAAAACTTCATGATCACCTATGGGTTGTATCAAGTACATAAAAACAGAAAAATGAGGAAGGCCCAACAAAGCCACGACGACAAATAATGACAACAGCTACAAAATCTTATTTTATATTAGCGTGACAAATTACCCCAAGAGTTTCATAGGTCGTTATTTAGCCCAATGGAATTTAAGCCTCAAGGTTATATCACAAGTAATTTGATTTAATGTAATTAAAATAAAGAAATGTTATTCCTCAAATCTTACCAAAATCGCTTAATCAATAATAGCAAATTTACGCAAATTTTATTTTGATACACATTTTGCAATTGATTTTCTTTTAAATACGACGTGAACTTAAAATCGCTTTTTTTCAGAAGAAATGGAAAATCAGCAACTTTCGAACATTCAAAAGTTCCCGCTGTTCCATCAATTTATTGACATGGAAATTAGTTTGCGCCATTGTTATTATACATAAAAAAATCGAAGAAATTCAAATCCCAGGATGGTGATCTTATTAGTAATTAATGCCCGTTATATATTTTGTTGCTTTATTTCCCATTTATCTACACAAACTGCCTTTATCGATATAATTTGCTTTATCCAAATATACTTAATCCATAATGAAAAGGACATTGTTATGTAAAACAAATAATTTTTTTGAGCATATTTAGAGAATTGTGGTGATTTCTCTGCACAGTTCTTATTTGACCATGAGAAATACTTCCCACTTCTCAAATTTGTACATTCGCCTTTTATCATAAAATAAACAGAGAAAATAACAGAGAAGCAAGGCAGATGTTTCGTAGTCCTTCACAAATCGTAATTAACAGATTAATGTTTCTAAATGAGTCAAGTATTATAATTTAGAAGACAACTGCTTCATATTGCTAACATGCAAAAATATTAATCTTTGTTTCTGATGCATTAACAGCATAAGTCAAGTATATTTGTTATATATCGGAGTAGGTGTCCATGCTTGCAATATTAGCACCAAAATGTGATTTTCGGTTCCATAAATTTCTTCATTAGAGTGACTTTATATTAACTAATTTAGGCGAGATTTTGTAACTCTCGGTGCAAAATTTATATCGTTTATTTTTCACAATATTCTTTAAATTTTACAGTTTGGTCAAATGACAGCAAAATTAAATGGATGATATAAAATTTCAAATTCTAATACTTATTAGAGTCAATTATGACCAAAATTGACCACATCAGTAAGTTCAAATAGAGTCCAATATGGTACGACAATTAAAAATGTCTGATTTCGAATTAATTAAATAATTCGTTATTAAACTTAGTGTTACCTTAACGCCACTGACTATCGATAAAAAATAGGCTTATTAACAACTTGAGATAACTTTCTGAAATACTTGAAGATTTAGTTTAGGCAACTTTTGGAGAATGAAAAGTACGCAATAACTTTGGGGGTTGCCATTCAGCAGCAATTTTTAATTCAAAATTTTCATAATTCATGATTTTAAAAATTATACTCGGTATATATGACAAGTTTGGAACCATTTATATTTTTTACTTTTTTTCTATTAATTTAGAAGTGAAATAATTTGATAATTCAAAATTTTCTTATTCAAGAAGTATTGAACTGACAGAAAATTCATCAATTATATCCATCTTAATTTGTGAACAAAACTTATCTAACGGAACTAAAACTCTTACTCAATATAAATCAGTTAATAATTTTTCGCTGTTTAAATTAAGGAACGATAATCCATGTTGCTACTGTACTTTTAGGAATAATGAATTTACCTTGGGTTTGTTTTATTCTATAATATAGCATTAATACAAATGTGCACTTAGTCAAGTTGGCCATTGCTTTACATATAAATCATAATCTCTTGAATTTATGTAAGCAACGTAAGCTCGCGTTCAGTTGATGATTTTTTGACATAAGTATATATTCTCACTTTTCGTCGACATAAATATATTTTATGTCTTTTGATATTTATTTGAAAGAAATTATTTGTAAATTGTTAAGCAATTTGTTTCAGATTTTAAAAGTATACCAGTTTTCCTATTGATTACACTATGTTAAATAGAAATTTTTAAAGGAAAGACATTCATATTAATAATAACTGTTCTTTTATTTAATTGAGTTGAATAGAAATTTTAATTACGAACACAATTGTACTGATATGTTAATGCATTAATCTTATTTAGAATAATCTCTGAATGCTTTGGATTATAAAGCAATGCGGTCAAGACGAAGTAAGTTATGCTACTATGTCAAATCTAGAGTCATACTGCCCACAACTTTCAATTTGATATTTCAATATATTTAATAAAGAATGCATGGAAGGAAGCAAACGTTATGTTTAAGATGCTATTTATTTTGGTCCTTGCGTTTCTTAAAATATAAATATAAGAAAGATTGTATTATTTAATTAGTTTTGCAGAAAATATTTTGCTGGGATAGAAAAACCAGCCGAGAAAATATTTCTTTATGCTTTAATTTAAAATTCTTTGAATCAAGCAAGATGGTATGAGTATTTACTATGAATTGGTTATTATGATTATATGTGATTTAGCTGGGAAGTTTAAAAAATTTGCCCTGATCTTGTTACTTTAATCTATTTAAATTTCTGAAAAAAAGAATAATAATAAATGACAAGTTATTTGCAATATAAATAAATATATATATCATTATGCATTGAAATTCTCATAATGTAATTTAGAATACGTAAGAGCTTTTTCTCTATTTTATTTTTACGATGGCATTGGGCGTCTTTAAAACTGAACTCATTTATTGCATTCGCTTTCCCGAAACTCACTAAGACATGCCTTTCCACTTTTATTTCCGCTTTCTCAAAGTGTTAATTTGAAGAATTCGATTTGAACATCGCGCATGGCTTTCTGTATTGCGGTTCTTTGACCACCTCTGATTTGTATACCTCCGAATATTCCCCAAAACTAAGCAATTGAAGAACTAAATAGTCAAATGCTGGCATCACAACATTTATATTTTTTACTAACGCTTAGACAGACGGTATGCATGTAACGATGGCTGATTTGCGACAGTAGACTTCGATGTTAATCAACTTATGTCTTATGGTTTTGGTTATCTTCGAAATCACGTTGGATTTTTCCAAAGTAGCTCTGATACAAATAAATTGTTAAATTTTTTATTGAATGATATACTTCTCATATATATTTGTCCTTTTTCTTAACTCAGACTGATTGCTATTTAAATACTTAAGGCAGTTTTAGAATGTGCGATTATTACCATACAGCCGTGGATATATTTGGGTATTTATTAGTGGAAATTGGTATTTCATTTAGATAAAACCCCCTGTATTCCATTTTTTTCCAAAGAAGTGGGAGATATTTCAAACCAACTAGTAATGAGTATTCCCGTGTCTGTACTCCTATTTTAAACAGAGTAAAATATTCTTGAATTTGTGTTTATTATTCAATTTTCAGGTGCTGATCGAACTCTCAATGAAATTATAGCCTACAAAGATAGTCTGGATGCGCAGAATGAAAGGGATCTTGTTTTGGCACTCGATCGAGTGGTTGACGTTGTTCAAAATCATCTCTATCATGCTTATATTGGTGCGTTCTGTTTTCCTACACCTTAAAATTTCTGAGCGAATCTTCAACGCGATTGTACGCCGTAGAGACTTTAAGCTCTCAGATAAATTTCAAGGATTGAAGTTATCCAAAGCGTGATAACTTTAATTGAACAGATTAAATTACAATGCTTACTTTTTATGACGCTAATTTTTTCCACTTTAAACTATAAATGTATCAAAAGTAAGAAATTGACGTAATGTCGAATTAAAAAAATCCCTTGTCAGGCGTTTATTACACTGAAATGCATGATTTTTTCTATTAAATCTTTATTTATAAGATTTTTTACTAGCATTTATCTAATTTGGAAATCTTGTCAAAGAAGTAAAACTGTGTAAATGTAAATTATTATTATTTCAATTTTACTAAAACAATGGGCAGATCTCGTCACTGTATTAGAGGATATGAAAGAGCATGTTCGCCAGGAGGCCAACAATATATATTTTTTCTATAAAATGTAAGTGAAACAATTAATTATTTACTTATTATCCCGTTGATTTTGTCTCGTGAAACAGATATTTCATAATTCGTAATTTCTTGTTTTTTACCCTGAATTATTTCCTTTCGCTGCATTGCAAATTTTTTTAATTTATAACATAACATAACATAAGAATAATGGATCATATTTCAAAAATGATTAAAATTATGACAATTAAGTCTCAATTTATGTGTGGTTTGGAATAGAAGAAATTTTATAAATTTATCGAGAGCAAAGGGTTCTCAAGATTATGGTTGGGTTTAGGCCTCCTAAAGTGAAAATTTTAGTTCTTATTTGTGCTTTAACTTCATGCGTGTTTTAAGTTAGGTTTGTCTGGAGAGGTTTTAAAGCGACTAGAATCCTAAGTCTTCCCCAAATAGGCTAAGGTAGCACTCACTAAAGATTTTGTGACCTTTTCAAGAGTAAAAAGTGATAACAACGGCCTTTTCGGAGTTAGAAGACCAATAAGTGAGTAGTTTCATGTGACTATTAGAGAAATGAAGATGAATGAGAGGGAAATGATTGAAGCGGTAGGAGGAGGCGAGGAGAGGAGGAGCGGGGGGGGGAGGGGGAGAGGGGGAAGGGGGGAGTTGGGGAGGAGGAATGTATCAGTACTGAGGCATAACAATCAAAATAAGGCGCTTGTCGGATTTCAGCTTATTTTATTAGAGATGCTGGGAGTTAGTAGGCACTCAGTGCGTAGATACTGAGTAGGACTACTTGTAGTTGGGTTATGGTAATGTACTTTTAAATAATTGTAATTGCTTCAGTTATATAAATATTATAATTTTCATATATTCCTTTTCTTTACAAAGCGGATAGATAAATGTTTCAATGATGGTTAGATTAACATGTAGGCAATGAGATTGTATTGGCGTACGTCGACTTGGAAATTTTACGGCGAATTTCTTTAGCAGGAAGAGTAGAGATAAATTTTTCAATATCCAAAATTGAATGAAA